CTTGGAGTAATAAATTTTACAGCATGGCAGACACATACTAGAATAATAAGCGCCAAGATTTAGTTCACATTAGGAAAACATGCAAACGACATTGGATCATCAGAAATACTTGTGTTTTTTTTTCTTCCAGTAAAGCCAAAAGTTTTAAAAGGAATGTGCTTTAAAAACAGCTTTAAAAAGGAATCTATAGTACTTCCCATATTTAAACAGTTTAAATGCATTGGTGACCAATAAGTTTTGCTACACTTGTCCAAGGTCTAGCTTATCAAGGTAATTACTCGTTGTTATTGAAAATGATGTTGAGGAGGAGGGGGTGAAGGGAGGGCAGAGGTAAGGGGAAAAAATGAGAATCAAGATTTGTCATGTAGAGGTACAAGATCCCAACAATGAATGTAACTGTACTGTATCCCTAAAATGTACCAATAAACTCAATTAAAGCTGAAAAAAAAATGATGTTGATATCATTGGCTTCAAAATGTTTTCTAACAGTCTTCTCAAGCAATCTTTTAAGATTTTCAAATTTGTCTCTTAACTAGTATAAAAAACACTTAATAATAGCTAAGATAATTAATTTTCAATTAATGTACCAAGTAGTGTTATAATTTTTTTTTACTTGTGTCATCTCACTTAATACCTAAAACAGCCCTGAGAATAGGCACTTCATTATTAGACTTTGAACAACTTCAGTGAAAAGATTATGCAATGGTTCCCTTGGACCACTGGCTAAAAATGCAGCTGGAATTTGTTAATTAGCCTATGTGTCTTTTAATGCGTGTTCAGTAACAATGCATTCTCTTATTTTCTCATTATATATCTATAACATAGGTAGTGTAAAGGGATGACTTCAGTCACATTTTTGATAACATAAGTCCCCTGATAATAATCTTTTTTTAAATCTTCAAATGAGTACAAGGCCAGCTGATTTTGATATAATTTGCAACCTTAAATTCATAATCAGAATGCCCCTGAACTTGATTTACACAAGCCTAAATCACTCTTCTAAATAGATGTGATGGTTTCCTTTGATTCATACTCATTCATACATGGATTAAACTGTGAGCCTGTGACTGGATTAAGAGCAAACACTGGTGAAAGCTAGCTCGTATCCTGCAAGCACTTGAAAAATCTGATTGGCCCACACAGAACAAATTCCGTCCTCAGCCACCTTGCCAAACCCTCTGAACCAACTGGCTGCAGAGAAACTAAAGAATGATAAAACAAGGAGCTGGATCAAAAGTAGTGTAAAAGAACAGTACACCTTTTTTTTTTTTTTTCTGCATGATACTTCCTTCTTGGTTACTAGTCATAAAATTGTAAGGCATTCTAATTGCTAACCATACTCGTAAGGAGCAACTATACATCTTAATAAATTATCACCAGCCCACTGATATCAAGTAAAAAAGGATAAAAGTTCACAATCCTGTAATATCATTAACATCTCAGAAGTTAATACTAGTAAAACTAGTAATAAGAGTACCCACAACCATGCCACAAGGAGTCGCTTCTAAGCTAAAGGGCTCTTTACATTCCACATGTTGAAAGTATTTGTAGTCAAACCTATATTTCTTTTGTTTGACTCAACTTTAATCAAGGGCTTTAAAATAATAGATTCTGGTGTGAAAAACTGTAATTACACATAAGATCCTAATGGTATAATTAACAATGTGAAATAGGAACAAAAGGAATAAAGGTGTAGGGGAAGTAGGAAGGGTAGGGGAAAGAAATAAGGGAAAAGAAAAAAGTGAGAAAATGGAAATAAAGTATTTGTAAATGGGGAAGGGAGGAGGGGGTGAAGAGAGGGCAGGGACAAGGGGAAACAATGAGAACCAAGACCTGTCATGTAAAGGTACAAGATCCCAATGATGAATGTAACTGTACCTAAAAGGTACCAATAAACTCAATGAGAAAAAAAAATGATGGATTCTTTGCATACGATAGGGAGACAGCAACACAGCACCGTGACTGGAGGGCTGAGGTGGCTACAGATACTTTTGCCAGGAGACGCCATCCCTTGGGCATTGTGGATCATTTCTGCACAAGGAGTTGCCTTGGGTGGTAAGCTAATAGGACTAGCACAGTGATTCCTGTGACAGTCTATGTGTAGCTAAGTGACTAGAGATAGATTTATCAACAGAAACAGTAAGAAGGCCAGCTCAACCAAAACAGTTCAGGAGGGAGAAGAAACATTACTATTGGTAAAATTTGTGGTCTCCAATCAAGACCAAAAGGAAAGACTTCTCTTTCAGTAAGAGTGAAAACTAAGCTTTCGTTATCAATGATGACATGGAAAAGAAAGTCACCTTTGTGTAAGAATTTGAAATGTTTATAGCCTAAGGGAATGAACACATACTTCTGAATCAAGGACAGGCATAGGCTATAAGAATGGCCTAAGTATTCAACAAAATATAAGAAATTTACATTAAGCATCTCTCTGAACAAAGGGATAATCAAGTTAAGATGCTGCTTCTGACTGATAAAATAGAACCTTAAATTTCACTCATAAAAATAATTTCACATAATGAAAGAATGGGAAGGACTCTGTTCAAGCTGTGTGAGGATAGCAGAGGTAGAATTAGTAGATCAAAGGAAAATCAGAACAAGAGAGAATCATAAAAGACATAAAATATACAGATATAAAGATATGAAACAAGGTAACTAAGGATAATGCCATTTACAGTAAAATCTTATTTCCAAATCCAAAGAACAAAGACAATAGATTTTGAATGAGCCAAGTTTCAGATTAACTTTTTATCACTGAAAAACAATATAAAAAATAACCTCAAATTACATCTTATTTGAAATAAGTCAATACTGAAGTACATTTTTCTTACATTACTTTACAAGGTAACAAAAGTTCCCCCAAATTAATTTGTCCAGCTCTGTTTATTCATCCATTTCAACTGTCTATTCTCAGAAGCAGGTTTGATGTCCTTCTGTAGAACTGGCAGTTTTTGTGAGACTGCCCTTTTGGGGTCAGCTGTAAGGGTGGCAATTCCTTGTTGGATTATTCACAATTAGGGACAAATCACTGCCAATAAACAGTTGTGTGTTTCGGGAAGAAAACATTCATGCTTTGGAATTGGTTATTTACCTTTCTGGTCAAAAAGTAAGAGGTTAGCGATGGCTAAAAAATCTCATCCGAGGCCTGGTTCTTAGGACAAGAGATAAATAATAACTTTGGCTAATGAATTGCTCTGTTTACCCTGAGGGAATTAGCATTAAAAATTGCTGTGGCTAGACCAGACTGATTGCAAGGCTAGTCCAGATTTAGTACCACGATGTTGTCTACTCAGTTGTATGTGACTGAGTGTATATTTTAAGCATTCTAGGTTAAGAACAAAATGATAGCCGACTTTTACATAGATTAGTTGGAAAGTAGGTACTAGAAAGTTGAGGTATCTCCAAAGACTTCAGCTGTCCAATATGAAAGCCATAAACTACACGTGGCTGCTGACCACAGCAAGTATGGCTACTCCAAAATAATAAAATACTTACCAAGTTTCAAAGACCTAGAATAATACTATCTCAACAGTAGTTTATATTGCTTGCCTTTTAAAATAACATTTTAGACATATTGGGTCATACGAGATGTTTTATTAAGTTTAGTTTCATATTTCTTTTTACTTTTTGGTGGACACTAGAATCTGTAGCATTCATCACATTTCTGATGGATAGTGTTATCCTGAAAAAAATCCATAAAATATAGTACATTGTGTTTCCATATTGGAAAGAATTCATTATCCTATTAAGTCCAGACTAAGATCTGTTTTGCCATCACTATTTTTCATTTTATAGACAGGAGCACCTGTCTTCAATATTCTGTTGATGTGATCTTTTAACACAAAAATGCATGCGATGTATTGAGAAAAGCTGAATATTGGACATTGGATGAAGCATACAGAATTTATTAAACATGCTTTTTAAAATTGCAAACAGTAAATAGGTGTAACCAGAGTGGGGTATTAGTGTTTTCTGGAAGAAAAAAAAAAACACCTGCTTTTTAGGAAGGACTAGATTGGACAGAAAGGAAGGGTCCAATTGTATGACATGTGCATTCAAGGTATTTTACCTGAGTTATTTCATTTACTGAAACAGCTCTTCAAGGTGAGAAGTCTAAGGCTCAGAATAGTTAAGTGGATTGTGTGACATCTCAGGACTTGGCTGGTAAGCAGCAGAGGAAAGACTGAACTCTAGTCTGCTTTTTCCCTACACCGGAGTCCTCTTGATCTATAGTCTAATTTTCAGTGTCTTACCTGGACTGTGTGCCATTGGCTGTGCTGTCTTCAGAGTCCATTCTAGTCCACAGCCCACTGATTGACTCATTTCCTTCCTCCAGATAAAGCCCGAGGGGAGGGAGGCCACAGCCATCGCTTTCCTAGAGACAGGATGAGACCCAAGAACCAAACTCTTCTTGCATATGGCCATCGTATTCAGAGATGAAAGATGTCTGGGTAATATACAGAGGCCAGGGACAAAATAAATAATATATAATTTAAAATGAGACCTAAGATATCTTGTCAAGATAAGCAGACAAAACCAAGACCAGCTTGAAAAAGAAGCTTGAGGAATTTCACAAACCACAAGAAAGATCCAAGCTAAGTATGGTGGTATACACCTGTAATCCCAGCATTTGGGAGGTTGAGGCAGGAGTATCTCCACAAATTTGAAGCTGGCCTGGGCTACCTAGTGAGTTCAATGACAGCCTGAACCACATACCTGAACTACATACAGACTCTGTCTCAAAAAAAAAAAAAAAAAACCAGAGACTACCTTAAATGAAGGTTCCATGCTGATTTGAATGGACACTCAGGATTGTCTAAAGGGTCCAACACGAAGTATCCCTAGTCTCCACACCGATCCACACCTTTACAATGGGCCGATCAATTTCTGAGACAAAAATAAAACACTACTAAGGAAGAAGTTTCCACTGTGCAGTTCCTTTGTTTTAGCGGTAGTTGCCACTGTGTGTGTTTTTCTAGCTTTTTTTTTTTTTTTTTCAGTTCCCAGTAGCAGCATCAGAAGCTTCAGAAAGTGCCGGAGAGTCAGTTAAGTCCTCATTGCTGCCCAGTGCCAATGCTAGCAACAACGCTGCACACCTGCTGTTTCCAGGTTTGGTGTTTCATTCTGCAGGAAGTACAGTTCAAACAGCCCATTTCTCTTGCTTCTAAGGTTGTATTATTTATTTATTGCCCTCTTATATAGGCTTAGAATTACATTTAAGGACATGATCTGGGGTCGGGAGGAAAACAAAGAAATATAATAAATGGGCTCTGCTCTCAAGATCTCTGAGAATATAACTGAATAACCACGAAAAGTTCACATTAAAGGAGCTGAGGGCTGGGGATTTAGCTCAGCGGTTCGGTTGGCCTGCCTTGCAAGAGCAAGGACCTGAGTTCAATCCCCGGTACAAAAAAAAACAACTAAAGGAGCTGAGGTTGTGAAAATGTAGTTCTGATGGCAGCCCTAAATATACAACTATAAATTTCTAATTCCTAGTCCCTTGTTAAAGTTAGAAGATTGCACTAGAAAAATGAATGTAAAATTTTGTATAATAAGGAAAGTCTTTTGTTGATCAATTCTTACTTGGTATTTTCATAATTAATTTTATAAAATGAATTTTAAGCTGGGCATGGTTGCACACACCTGTAATCGTAGCACTCAGGGAAGCTGAGGCAGGAAGGTTGCATGTTCAGGCCCAGACTGGGCAATTTAATGACTTAGTGAATACCTGTCTCAATATTAAAATATTTTTATTTTTTTTTCTTTTTATTGAGTTTATTGGTACATTTTAGGAATACAGTACAGTTACATTCTTTATTGAGATCTTGTGCCTTCACATGACAGGTCTTGGTTCTCATTTTTTTCCCCTTGTCCCCACCCTCCCTTAACCCCCCCTCCCCTCCCAATTTACAAACACTTTATTTCCATTTTTTATTTTCTCATATTTTTTTCTTTTCCCTTATTTCCTTTCCCCTACCCTTCCCACTTTCCCTACACCTTTATCCCTTTTTTTCCTATCTCCCATTGTTAATTATATCATTAGGATCTTGTGTGCTATTATAGTTTTTCACACCAGAGATACTATTTGGTATTTACACATGTGTGACTTATTTCTTTCACTTAGGAGTATATCCTCAAAATGTATCCATTTACCTATGAATGAATCTAATTTCTCATTATTTATGGCTGATTAGTATTCCATTTTATAGAAAAACCACATCTAAAATTAAAATATTTTTAAAATTCTAGGGATACAGTTCAGTGCAAAGGCCTTGGCCTCAATCCCAAGTACCTTAAAAGGTGAGATTGTTAGTAAAATAATAATAACAAAGAAATAGTTGAAAAGCTGCTCTGAAGTAAAAATTGAGGATGAGGAAACTCAGAGCCCAATTTACCTGAGCCACTAAAATTGGTTAGGAAATCACTAAACCCAACTCCAGCCCAGTGCCCCCACTCCAGAAGCTCTGTCAGACACAGCTGAGTCTTTACCAGTCTGAATATTTCCCTGTAGCTTCAACCACAATTTCCTACAAAGCTAACCCTGTCCACAAAGCAACTACATGGAAGACTGAATTATGAGAGACTCAGAGATAGCACAAGACAATTTTTAACAGAGTGCTACAGAAAATGAGAACTGTCGGTTCAGAGAAAAAGTAATCACTTTGTGTTAACCCAGACTGTCAGGGCTTCACAGAGGAGGGGCTTTGAAGGATGGGAAGAGCAATGACTTTTCCATGAATTTTCAAAGGAGGGTGCGAAGACACTAAGTCTGGAATTAAAAACATGTGCTCAAGAAATGACAATAATTGCTTATAATTGTTGGGAGCTTCTGATGGCCAGAGACCATACTGATCCTGACATGGGCCACAATCCTCGCAGCTGTGTGGTAAGACAGGTGCCACGGACTCAGATGGGAGAACTGAGGCCCAGAACATGGGGAAAGCACCTGCTCAGTGCTGACTTCTCAGTGAATTCTGCCTGGTGTCAGAGTGCACACTACAAGTACTCTACTGCCACACTGGGTTTGTATACAAGGGTAACCAAGAGTGAGGTTGTGAAGATCAGCTGAGGTCAGAATGTACAAAACCATGACTTCCAGGTTAAGGAATCTGCCATTTTATCCTCAAGGCGATGAAGAAACATGGAAATTGTGCAGACAGTGAAACAGCATGCTCAGAGCATGTCTTTGGATGACTTTTTTTCATTCTTATTGGATTTGTTTTAATAAGATGCATACAGTAAGAATGGGAGCTGGTAATTATACTGTGTTCCTTTATTAAATTTTAATTCACAATGATGTTATCTGTCAGAGATTACCAAACACATGATGCTTGCATCTGAAGAACAAAATCAAAGCATTTCCACATTGTTAATTTTTAGTCGTATTTTATTTTCAGGGAAGTTCCAAATGCACCAGTTTTATTTTTTTTTAAATTGAGTTTATTGGTACAATCTAGGTCTACAGTACAGTTACATTCATTAAAGGGATCCTGTACCTTCACATGACAGTTCTTGTCCCTGCCCAGTTTTAAAGTTAAACCACAACTGGAAAATACTGAGATATTGAGAATTTTCCATGTGCTCTCTAGAGCTTCAGTCAATCAATGGCAATATTTCCTAAGTAAAAAAAAATCTCAGAAACGAGTCAGTTCTTGAATTTAAAACTTTCACATACTAGACCAAATGAATTAGATTTAATTAACTTAATAAAATCTAATTAAAATATAGACTAGATTAATTAGATTTAATATATATATATATATATACATTTGTGCTTAGTATTTCTCTGTAATCATTGGTAATGATTACAGAGAAATAGCTAGAATTTGTATAGCATGATCAAAGAATAAGAGGGAAGTAAGCAAAGTAGAAAATTCTAAGATTTCATGGTGGGCTACAAAACAACAAGGAACCACTGCTATATGCACGCACCAGTCTCCCACACTTCAAATATATATTGTCTCGAAGCAAGCTCTATTGTCTGATTATTCGGCATTATTTCATCATTTATAACAGACATCAGGTCAAAAATCCTTAATTTCATTATAAAAGCCAACATCAACCAAACCTATACACTGATCTCATTCACTTATTCATTCATTTAACAAATATTTCCTGAAAATGTAAAAGGTGCCAGAACACTGGTACCAGTATTCTAAGTGCTGGATATGTAGCACTCAATATGACAAGCAAATATCTTGCCATGCAGCTTTTGACTAGAAGTGTAAACAGGTACCTAATTGCAAACATAGTATGTATATTGCAACCAGAATCATGGAAAGAATTAAGCTCTCGAACCAAGGTACCATTTATTTCTCTTGTTCAACACTTTTTTAATATATAAAGCAGTATAAAAACTTTATTCTGATGGGAATAATAAAGAGAAGAAATGATGGTAGAGAAAGGACTACTGTAGGTATAGATGCCTAGATTAAGTGAGAAGGAAATTAGCATATATACATATATATACTAATATATATAAATATATATGCTTATATGTATAATTTATCTGGCTTTAAAACTTACACCCTTTATACTCCACCCTAATAGCAGCCTTTAGAAAAAAAGACAAACGTTTGAGATTTTAGAATGTGTGGTACATGTGCATACACTCACGTGTGTGTGTGATGTGCCAGAGAGGGTAAGCACAGAATTGTTCACCATCTAGTTCAAGTGGGACACACGCAGCCCACACAGAAAAGAGGACCAGCATATGGTGGAACTTAAACTATACCATGATGAGAGCCCAGGTAGGACTCTGTGGGCATAAAGAGGCACCCTGGGAGAAAGCAGAGACACTGAAATGAAAGGGGAGAAGCAGACAACCCCAGCCCCTAGAGTGGAGAAGCCTTTTGCCCAAGTGGGAAGCCCAGGGATCACAGCAATATGTCTTCAATTTAATTCTGTAAACATTTTTAAAACATGCCCACTCATAACATTTTAGGGTCTTACTATTTTGAATGATGCATAGTTAGTAAGTTAAGCATGAATTTGTTAGATGCAAGAGATTTCAATCACAAAGTTGTAGAATGGATGAATATATGATACATGCATTAGGATTTATAGGCATTGAACATATTGCATATAGTATAGTTGTTTGAATTGATACATAATCACATGACTGTATTTGCTTTCTAAAAATCATTAAAATTCTATCATTATATTTATACTACCTACAGGTAAAGATTTTAAAAAATTCTTCATTTTCCAAGTAATAAAGGGCAGTAAGTGATCTAGATCCCTTGATACCAGGAAGCTTCTTGCAAGATTAAATGGGATTATCGTCCATAGGCCCGCAGGATGTTTGGATTTGAATTAAAATATAGAAACCTTATTAACAAAATTTACATTCCTCCCTTAACCTTAATCTAATTTTGCTGGTCTCACGGCCTCTAATACACAGCAATTCCGCAGAATGCCACATGGCTTATAACCCATCTTTGTCATCCTAATCAGAAGCCACTGATCACTCTGGAGGAAAATAGATGCATGAATTTTAAACTGGTCATCACGTTCGTATTTTTTAAAATGTATTACAAACCAATATTTTATTCATGAAAACCACATTAAATATTATATTACAAGCCAAACACTTATGATACCTTGAAATGTGTTCCAAAATAGAAAGCTTTCTCTCGCTCCTTGGCTTAGTGCTGTTCTTCAGCTGACTGTGCTCTGTAACCCTCAAGACCAATGGCAGTGGCTTTATTCTCTAACAGGAATGATTTACCCAAACCCTCTGCAGACAAGGACTTATCCCCATGGAACTGCATTAGTGATGATAATTTTATGCACTAACATTGGCCAGGGAGTTTATAGGGAAGACAGAGCAGCCTTAGAGTTGCTCCTTCTTCCGCAGTAAGTTGCCCTCGCTGTCCTTTGTAGGAGCTAGGACAGAAAGGGTGGAGTTCCAAGGTGAAATATGAAAATAAATTATTTTGTGACATTCTCAGTAACCCATGCTTAGTCACTGGAAGTCCTTCACTCATATTTATTTATTTTTTAATTGAGTTTATTGGTACATTTCAGGCATACAGTACAGTTACATTGATTATTGGGATCTTGTACCTTTGCGTGACAGGTCTTGGTTCTCATATTGTCCCCTTGTCCCTGCTCTCCACTCACATTTAAATGGCCAAGCAAATGAAATACTTCAGACTAGAG